TCTCTCTCTCTCTCTCTCTCTCTGTGTGTGTGTGTGTGTGTGTGTGTGTGTGTGTGTGTGTGAGAGAGAGAGAGAGAGAGAGAGAGAGAGAGAGAGAGAGAGAGAGAGAAAGGGGGCAGGATGTAGGTGTCTGGGAAACAAGACACATACACAAGCATTTTTATTACTGTATTATAGACTGAAATCCAGAGAACTCAAACTTTTCTTAATTTTGGCAACAAAATTCAGGAGAAACCTTGTGCTGCAATAGTTTCAGGACATGGGTTTAGGGGCTCCTGCTTCATGGCATCTTTCAGTGTTCACTTTTGTTCTCCCCCCCCCCCAAGAAAAAAAATCGTAAAAACAGTAACATGTATTGAAACGGACCATTAACAAAGGGGAAGAAATAAATCCTCCACTCTAGTCTATGGGGTTTAATTGACACTCGCAGTTTGTTGTTTACTGCCATGGGTACTAACCAGTTATGGGCAATATACACATTTTATGACTAGCAAGCCAAGCGTTTTTAAGTCTGCCCGCTCCCTCACTCCCTCCTGAGAAACCCAAGGCGAGGAGGATTCAACCCAGTTCTTTGGAACTGAGCCTTCAGAAAAACAAAAGAGAGGGTTGTCGTGGTTAAAGAGTGTGAGCCTAGATTAGCTCGAAATCCCCTCTTCGGCACAAAGCTTCGTGCTAGTCTCTTCGCCTGACCAAAACTGGCGAGGAGGAGAGCCACACGGGCGGCTTTTTTCCCCTCACTGGAAGCGGAAGGCCGGAAGAGACGAAGGGAACAAAGACCCTAAGCGGCGGCGGCGGCAACAACAACCACGAAAGACAAAGCCGCGCGCCTCTCCTTTTTCCCCAGCAGGTGGCGGTAGCGCACAAACGCGGCGCGAAAGGGCTTCCGAGTCAGCGCTTCCCAGGAGGAAAGATGGTTGACTGCGTTGGCACATGGCGGGACTGCTACAGTCTGGGGTGGCGCAATGAGAATTAGCCATGCGGGCGTAAAGGAAACGGCCTTCTCGCTCTGAGAGGGAGCTCCCCTGTTTCTACCCTCCCCCTTCTCTTCCTCCTCCTCTTCCTCCCTCCTTGGGTAGAGCTGGCGGAGGCTGGCCTGGTTAACTTGTACGGTGGCCGCTGGAGATCCCTTTTTTTTTTCCGAAGGAGGGCGGGAGGGCTCCCACGCTCTGCCCACTTTGCGGAGAAGGTGCAGCGCAGAGAGAGGGCTTCTTTCTGCAAAGGGGGCGGCGGTGGACCCGCGAGAGGCCCGAGCGAGCGGAGGAGAAGCCGCGGGATCTCGCCAGACCCTGAAAGACAGCAGCAGCAGCAGCAGCAGCAGCCCGTTCAGCATCCTTCCTCCGATCGCGGCCGGCCGGGGCTCTTTGGGAACAAAGACCAGGAGAAAAAAAAGGCGTGAAGGCAAGCAATAGCTTCCCCCCCCAATCCACCCCCCCGCCCCAGATTTAGCTCCTCTCTGGATACAGACTCTGTGCCTGCTAATTAAAATTGGCCGCCGCTTTTCTCCCATCCGTGCATGCATGCGTCCGATCCCGTTTTAAGGCCGCCGCCATCATCATCATCATGGTGTGCCATTGTCCGAGTTTGTAGCACCGAACGGTAGCGCCCAGCCTTTAGCTGGAGAACCTACATTCATCGTGTTAAGGTCATCGTGTATAATGGCTCACGTGAACTGCTTGGAGAAGTGTTGGTGTGCAGGTGGGAGGGTGAAAATCTGGGGGCCCGTTGCTTTTCATGTATGACCCCCCTCCCCCAATCCTAATCTTAAAGTGCAGGGGGGGGCTGTTCCCTCCTGGCTTGCTCCACAATGATTTTTTTAAAAAAATCAACGTCCTTTGGAACCCCTAGTTGTCAAGTCATCTGTCTTCTGGTGCCAGGGAAAAAGATTCCAAGCAGTTTAGCCTTGCCTCTTAAATACAGTATGTGCTTTTTATGCAGCCTCCCCAAAAACCGAGGAAGCGAACTGGCCCTGATAGGTTCCTTGTTTGTCACCCTTCTTAGCCAGGGGTGTTTCAGCTCTACATTTGACAAGTGATCAAGTTCTTCCCTGGACTGTTTTAGATTATAGGGGGAGAGCTGGGATATTTGAAATTTTTAAAGCAAAAATAAAAAATAAAACCAGCACCTTGCAATTAAAAAGCTAGCAGGTTGAGGAGGAGATCTCTCATAGTATTCTCCTCAGGATGCTATTTCTCCTATAAGCAAGGCATTTTTCAAAGAGTAGCATTCCAATTCTCACCTGCATCTTTCCTGCAATTCTTACTTCCACAATGCAAAATACAACAATCAGCATTTGATTCTGTAGTACATATAAATTCTCATTGTTTATGTCCAAGACAGTTATCTCCATCTTCTGTTCCATTAACTACCCCATTAACCTCAATCGACTCTGCTTCCAGTGAGTTGCATGGATTTTAGCTGTGTTTAAATAGTTTCTCATGGCTGTCTGCTAGACTGAAATATGAAATTAGGTCAGCCAACACAATTCATTATCTACTCAGAAGGAAGCAAGATTGGATTCAGGATAACTTACTTTTCAGTATCACCTACTCCTGCCATTGCATGGTTTCCACGACCATGCAGCCTTATCCCGATTACTCCTGCCATTGCATGGTTTCCACGACCTTATCCTGATTTTTTTACTTTTTTGTGTCATCTGTTAACAATGAAAGCATGTTTGAGATCCTATGTTAAAAGTAAACTGGAGAATAATTAATGCACAAGCTCTAATGTGATTTATCCTTTTTTAAAGGATGGAGAAGAAAAAAATCCTACTGAAATCCAAAGTGGCTGCTTCGAACCTCCTGAGGGCACTGCATGCTCTTTATCGATTAGGCCACTTCTGTGACGTCACAATACACACACAGCAGCTAGGAACCCAGAACAAGTTTTTAGTTCACAAGGCTGTCTTAGCTGCTTCCAGCAATTATTTTAAAAGCCTCTTCCTCAAGGATGAGATGCTGAATGCTCAGAATTGCAGGGTGACTCTTCAGGATATTCATGCTGAAGATTTCGTCTCCTTCTTAAAGTTTGTCTATACGGCAGAAGTAGAAATTCAGGTGGATCAACTTCGCCGAATCAGGGAAGTCGCTGAAAGACTTGAATGCAAGGATCTGCTAGATGTCCTTGAAGAAATGAAGGCTCTCGGTGAAGAAGACCCAGAAATGAGCATTCATTTCAAAAATCATGGAAGTGGTGAGTCTCTCTGGAGTCAACCAAAACAAACAGAAGATAAAAAACAGAGTGACCTGTCCCAAATCTTGGTGATACCTATGAAGAGAAACCTTTGGGACAGAAAAAAGCATAAGAAACTATCAGCTAGCTGTGATGTTATTGAAGAGAAACCTGGACTTCCTATCAAAGATGAGGTTCCTCTAGCTAAGCCCAAAGATGAGACAGCTGCCTTGACCAGAGAGAGCAAAGTAGACGCACAGAAAGTTCTCATCACGGATAATTCCAGCCAGGAGGAAAATGCCACCCATCCTTCACCACCTCTTGAAGGCTCACAGGAAACCTGCCTTATTATAAACAGGATATTGCCTGGCCAGCAGCAGGATGCAAATATCTTAATTCTTGGTGAAGCCAGCCTCCGAAAATCACGCAGTATATCCAAAGTCGTGCCGCGGCTGTATGCATGTGACAAGTGTAATCGTTCCTTCCCCTTTGCCAAGCAGTACCAGTCACACATGGAACTGGAGCACGAGACACGTCTGGTCATCAAATATAACTGCAGTGTGTGCGGCCAGCTGTTTTCCAGTTGCCAGAATCTAAGAAATCATAGGCTTGCCATTCACAGCAGCGAGCGGCGCTTTCCTTGCTTGTTATGTGACAAAAAGTTTAAGCGGCAGAAGGATACCAAGGATCACGTCCGGCGGGTGCACGAAAAGAAACGGAGCCCTCAAAGGTGCCCTTACTGTGACAAGGTCATCAGTTCCAAATGTGGCCTGACCGTTCACATCCGAACCCACACCGGAGAGAAGCCTTACAAGTGTGAATGCTGCCCCGCACGTTTTGCTCAGAGGTCGGCCTTTAATACTCATGTGAGGTAAACCCTTTATTTGTGCACTTCAGAACATCAGGAAAGAGATGGTTGTTGCTGTTGTTAAAACCCTTATCTCTGCGGTTAGAATTTAATCCGAGCGGAAATCAGTGGTCAGGGAACAGGGGTAAATTACCCCAAATGGGGTAAAAATGAAAATCCTGGGGGTAATGAGAACAGTCGTGGCAGGCATTTTACCCCCAGGCATTTTATTTCCAACGATGCTGTGCATAGGCGGGTATTCTGTCGCGGGGAGAGAGAGCCTTGGTGAGGAACTGCACAGGGCACCCGCCTGCCCTCCTCACCTTCAAAGGGGGGGGGAGAGGACGGTGTACCAGGCCAGCTGGACTCTTTGCCCAGCGGAGCCCTGGCTGGGGCTCTCCTTTCTGCTTGCACCCACCCGCCCGGTGCACTGGCGAGGAGACCCCCTTCCCACCCCGCCTCATCTGAGCTCATGGACCCTGTGGCGCCCGCCTCCCCTCGCCAAGGACGCGCTTTCCCAGCACTATGGCAGCTCCAGACTGCCTGCCCAGGCGGTGGCCACAGGTCCTGGGTGAGTGCAGAGGCGGGGGGGGTCGGCCATGGACGGCGAGAGCCGGGGGGGGGAATGTCAACGTATATAAATTGGGGGTGGGGTAAAAGGTAAAAAAGTTCCCTGACCCCTGATGTAAATTAATCATGTTGTGCCCCTTGAGTTCTGGTTTGTTTTGCACTCCTAAGCAAATAAGTTACATTTAGATCATTCCATGATTAGATCGTTCCATTTACGACTGGAGTTGCGGCCATACCCTTGTAGCCCACAGGCAGTGCAGCCATTTTTCTTGCATAGCTATAGCCTTTCACTCTGTATTGGACCAGGACAACCTGGCAAACCGTCGGACAATATTGAAGGTAGCATGCTACTCAGTGTGGTTTTTTCACAGTACTTTTATACAGTACTTCCCCAGATAATCTTTGTATTTTGCAAGTTGCTTTCCATTTTAGGAGGAGGGGAATTTTTACAGTGTCACCCTATGCATGTTTGTTCATGGTAGCCAGTGGGGCTACGGCCCGAGGTAACCATAATATGATTTAATCCGAAAGACAGATTATGTCTAACTGGTTTTTGTGTATTTGGTAACTTATTTCTCAATAGAAAAGTTCATGTGTCCAGACAAGAGAGGAAACTGGTGGAAGGTTCCTGGATGCTGGCCCCACCAATGGAGAGAAACAACATTACAGATGGTGAAACAGATGTGAATAACCAAACATGCCAAGAGGTACCAAATACCGTGCCACAAAGAGAATTTGTGGGAGAAAAGATTCAGGAGCTTGAGAAAGAATCCAGCAGTTCTCTAGCAGTAGAAACAGAGTCTGAAAATAAAGAGGGAAGGCAAGAGGTTTGTTGCAAAACCAGCATCGAAAGTGTGGAAATTGAGGGACCCACAGATATAGCTGTAGAAGAGGGGGTCAAAGGGGAGGTGTCCTGTGGAGCAGAAGGAGACGACAGCAATGACTGTGAGCTACTCTCTTCAGAGAGCAACAGCAGTGATTCAGATGATCAAGACGTAGCAGAAAACATACTGGATATAAATTACAAAGAAAAGAAAGCAGATCAAGATGAGCTACTGGAAAAATCCGCCTATGTTATAACATGCACCAAATGTGTTGAGAAATTCATGTCCCGGAAAAAATACATTGACCACTGCAAAGATGTCCATCATTCCTTGCCAGGCAAAGTGTATCAGTGTGACATTTGCAGCAAGTCCTTTGCAAGTTACAACAGCTGGAAGGAGCACCGAGCCTGCGTTCACACAGAAGACAGGCAGTTTGCCTGCACTCTTTGCAACGCCACCTTTAAAAGAAAGAGGGATGTGAGGACGCATTACATGCGGAAACATGAAGGCAGGGTGAAGCGCCCCCTCTGCTCTGTCTGTGGCAAGATCTTAAGTTCTAGAACGGCGCTCGTGTTCCACATGCGGACCCATACAGGAGAGAAGCCATACCAGTGTGGCATCTGCTGCTCAAGATTTGCCCAACCTTCACAGCTCAAGATTCACACCAGGTCAGCCTGTACTGTATGTCTTCTTTTCTTCCTGTTTTGTTTCTCTTGAATGCGCCGTCTGTGACAAGGGATGTGTGTCCCTCCAGACACGGCTCCCATCAAACCTAGACAGCGTAGCCAAAGAAGAGAAAGGGTGGGAGCTGCAGTCCCACAACCTTGGCAGCCGACGGGTTACTCATCCTGGCCAAGCCAATATTGAGCAACCAAATGATAAAATGAAGATCAAATGTAGATCCATACTCATTAGTATAATGATGTCGGTGGAAAAATGGAAGTGGGATTAATAATATAGGCAGAATTTTGCATATTATTTAACATTTTAATGGCATGCTACTGATACTGAAAGATAAATCAATGCCTGTTTGGAGGTTCAGCGTCTGATAAACATAGCACAAAAGGAAAGAGGAGTAGGTAGGGAAGAGAAATGACACCTCCTCCTTTTAGCCAGTGGATGGAATCGGGTTGTTCTGTCCTTCCAGCAGTGGTCTTTTAAGGGGTAGGCAGATCATGCAACCTCCCAGTGGCTGCTGAATGAGGCCAGAGTATGCTGTTCTTCATGTGTTCAGTCCTAGATTCACATTATTTAGTTCTATAATTCAAAAAAAGAGAACCTTATGAAACACTGTTTCAACAGGATTTCACATAGAAGGCAGCTCAGGAATTGGCCAAGTGTGGTCCTCCAGATGGTGAATTGCAGCACCCGCCAGCCCTAGCCAGCAAGCCAGTGATGAAGATTTCATGTTAGTTCTTGCATAGACTTTTCATTACACTGGCCGTAGAATCAAGTGACCCTGAAGGAGCCTTAAATTAATTTAGTCCAAATGTCCAGGTTAATTTGGCGGTGGTTTTCAAAATCCCCTTCCTACAAGTTGTGTTTGTGGCTTTGGGGATGGAGTGATACTGGTAAACTGTTTGTAATACTCACTATGTGGGAACTATCTTTGTATCTTTTCCAATCTAGGTCCCATACAGGTGAAAAGCCATATATCTGTGAGGACTGCGGGGCGTGCTTTGTGGATAAAGGCAAACTTACTGGTCACAAGAGGACACATACAGGTAAGGTAAATTCACCTGTTCCCTGAATGGGCCATTACCTATATGTAACTCATGTAGCTGCCCCATCATTTTGCTTCTCCTGCGTTATTCAGGCGTGAATATCCTCTTCCCCACACATACATTTCTGGGCAGCTTGACCTTCAGCCCAAGACCGCTGTGGTCGGTGGATAGCCAAAAAGCTGTGTCACTATTACAAAAAGAGGTTCAAAGAATGGACTGTCTCAAGAGAAGGAAGAATTCTGTGAGGGGAAAGTGAGCCTTGTGGAAAAGATCAGCTAAACACTTTTTGGAAATTTCCTCTGCAACAGTAGTAACAGAAATACCATATTTTTCCATGTATAAGACACCCCCATGTATAAGATGCCCCACCCCACTTTTCTGACCCAAAATTAAGAAATGTAACTGGGACTTAGCAAATGTAGGGTAAAAAGAATCAAAGCCCTGCAGGATCGCTTTGATCCCCGCTTTGCCCTCCACTTGTTTTATTCTCCTCAGCGTACTTCCGTAAATAAGACGACCCTCGATTTTTAGACTAAAGATTTTAGACAAAAGTAGTCTTATACATGGAAAAATACGGTAGTTCATTTGCTTCTTTTATCAGGGGAACGCCTCTTCAAATGTGATGTGTGTGAGAAACACTTTGCTACCAATGAATATTTGAAATGTCACAAGCGCTGCCATATGGGAGCCAAACCATACAAATGTGATGTCTGTGGGAAGACCTTTGGCTTGAGAGCCTCGTTAGCTCAACACAGCAATGTTCACGCAGGTAATAAAAGTTGTTTGTGGGTGGAGGGTGGGGGATGATGTAGGTGGAAGGAGTAGGTAATAGATGTATAGACGCAAGCTTCTTGCATGTGAGTCTGATACAAAGACGCATAAGATTGAAAACTTGGGATATGGCTATTGTTAAATTTTCTTAAATACAGTGGTGCCTCGCTTAACGATTTTAATTGGTTCCAAAAAAAACATTGCTATGTGAAAACATTGTTAAGCGAAACACCATTTCCCATAGAGATGCATTGAAAACCGGATAATCCGTTCCAATTGGAACGGATTACCATCCTTAAGCGAAAATCCCCATAGGAAAAAACTTTAAGCGAAACCCATTGAAAAGCATTGAAGCCTATTTCAATGGGGGGAAAAATTCACAAAAAATTCAAAAAGACTCAGAACAAAGCCAAATTAAGTTAACGAAGGTTTTATTAGGTGCAGGTTTTATTAGATTCCAAGCATTTTAAACATTTTTAAACATTTTAGAATATTTTAAAAGTAGCAAAAACGGGGCTGTAAAAAAAAACGTTAAGCGAAACAAGGGGACCTAAAACTGTCATCGTTAAGTGAAGCATGGTCCCAAAATCGTTAAGCGAAAATCACCCATAGGGAAAATCGTTAAGTGAAGCACAAGATCACTCCGAAAAAGCCATCGTTAAGTGAATTTTTCGTTATACGAAGCAATCGTTAAGCGAGGCACCACTGTACTGCTGGACACCCAAAATGAGTTGCAGCATTCTGTAAGATGGACTAAAGACAGATTAGAGGAAGGACGTTGCATTGAGACCCAATTGGGTTGCAAACAGCCTCTGAATATTACTATTGACTATATTTTTGTTTCTCCCCAGAATTTATTTCATTGGTTTTGTGATGTCATCATATATTTCTTTTCAAGTCACTATGTAGTCTCATTTGGGGATGAAAAGTTGGACAGACTATCTTCTAAATGTAATATGGAGGCTTTGGAAATGCACTTTCATACCTGTTTGGTTTGCTTCTTTTCTTTTCAAGAGACTCCTCCTTATTTCTGTGAGCAGTGCGGGAAGACATTTACTCAACAAGGAGCGCTTCGGCGTCACCAGCGTATTCACACTGGAGAAAAACCATACAAATGTAGGGCTTGTGAGAAAACATTCACAGATATGTCAACCTTGAGGAGGCATGTCCTGGTATGTCCTCTGTTTTCTTCTTGAGGCCCTGAGTAGCAACACATTTCTTTACAGGCTTTTTAAAACCTCCCAGCGCTGAGATGGTAAAGTGGTACTGCTGTTCTCTCTCTCCCTTCTCAGTGCCTCTAGGGTGGCACATTCACTGTTATTAAAGAGGAAGCGAAAGGCACTGTTGCCTCAGAAAATAGAATTAACATTGCACCAGTGACTTCTATTCTGCTTCTTTGAAACATCATTGGGTCTGCATTAGGGCTATCTTCTGATATGGGCAACGTTCTGCTGGCATGGAGTGGCACTGGGTAACCACTAACCCACTGAGTGGCATGCTGCCATAATTTAGCAGCTATCACAGAAGTTCTTGCCATCTTCATTGCTGTTGAAATCTGGTGCAATCGTGGCAGTTCTCTGATGTGCATTAATCTAAATTCTTATTATTACAGTGGGATTAAGAAATGACCACCTTCCTTGGGACTCCCCACATCTTACACTGGTGCCATAATGACCCTAGTTTTTGTGTACAACCTACTTGCCACTTACCATCCTTCCAAATTTTGTGGGAAGCATAATTTGCTTTCTGCACACTGTACCTTACAGAATGTGAGACCAGGCTATATGAATGAGGACCATTTATCTCTTTAAAACATCTCCAAATAGTAGTATGGTGTTGACATTATTTTTAAATAGATTTTATTGTAATAACTAGAAAAATTTACTTTGTTAGAAAGGTTCTTTAAAATGTTTGGCTTAATCAGCTTAGAATTTGAATCACGGAAGTAAATCTTTGTATTTCCCCCCTTCTGCTGTAGGTCCATGACCGGAATGCTCACTGGAGGAGTTTCTTAATAGATCTTACTATCAAAAAGGACCATAACTGGTCCAAAATAGAGACTTTATCTAATATCTGTATGGGAGAGGACTCCAGTCCAGTTTGGTCTAGTGAACGTAGTAAATGCTATAAACCAGAAAGTGTGGGTGTAAAAAAAGCAGAACATGTATCATGTAATGGCAATGTAAGAGATTCTGACCATTCCCTTATATGTTTATAAGTTCAGATAGTCAAGATATAACATGATACAAGCATTTCACGCGTTTTTAAATGTATGGTAACACTCTCCAAGTTTTACACACTTTCTACAGATGATCCGTGCTCAATTTGACTTTGCCAGATGGAAGACTCAAGCATTGGGTGGTTCAGAAATTGTTGTGAAATTCTTAGTGAGAAATTTCATTTTAGCCTAGATGCTGACTTCAACTAAGACCTTTCAGAGACTCAGGAAATATTCAGTTTCAAACTAGTCAGGTAAGAAAAATAAGAATCCCTTTTTAGGAATTTCCATCTTTAGGCCTGCACATGTGCAACAGAATAAAAGCATTGCTATGTGAAGTATGTACATGCTCAGTGCTGAGGAAAAGGTGTGACCAGGTATATCAGTTTCTAGAGAGGTCACCTATTGCAAATTATCATGGCTTATTTAAAGACAATGAATTTATTAGGGCTTAAGATTTGGTAGAGCGCAGTCCACTTCATCCACACTTGGATATGTGTGATTGCAAAGATTAGAGGAGGTTGAAACGCAGAACATACAGACTGCGATAGTTATGTGATTGATAATGGCTCTTCACAAAAGAGTTGTCACTGATGACATAAATATTCTGTCATTGGATACAATGGTGAACATGTACGGAGACAGGAAAGCAAAAACGTTCTACTGCAAGATACCAAAAGAACACTGAGCAGTTGTTTTTAATCTATCTGAAAGTCCTTTATTCATGAGGAAAGGCAGTTCATCTCCAAAATGTATCACTTACTTATAGTGTTAATAAAGCTTTTTCTAAATGCTCCACACTGTGGTCATTTTTCCCCATTTCTACTGAGTGCTATTTTCTCCTTGTGTTTATCACTCGGCACACCAATTAACACATGCAATATTCTGAGTGGCGGGGGCTGGAATCTTTATCCTGACTCAGACCTCAAGGGATAGAGATGAACATCATGACAAATTATAATTTAGTAGCCTGTCATTCTAATCTGCCTTCTGAAATTTCTCCACTCCAGAATTGTCCCTTTAAGGTTGCTGAGGATATGGGAGGAGTGGGAGGCAGAAGTGCTGTCTCACTGCTTTTTGAATGCTGCCATTTTTAAAGTCAGACTAGTGCCATTTTGTTTTTTTAACATACAAACTGGTCTGCACATGAAACCCAGAAAGTTATTGCTGGCAGATGGCAGAACATACTAACAATGGAACAGATGGCTGTAACTCCTGATATTGTGACTGCCATTATTGGCTCTATGACAGTGTTTACGGACTTATTATTTGGTGGTAAAATTAATGCGGCACTGTTGGTTGCAAACACAGATGACCTCCATGGGAGGACCTTTTATTAGCTCAGGGTGCTATAGTAACTACAGCACTGTTTGGACAGGAATACATTAGCCATGAGTATCCATGCTCTGGCAACTTCTTGTCTAGATTACTGCAGAGTTATACATGTACAACAGCCATTGAAAATAATCCAAAACGTCTATTGTCCAAAATAGGGACTAACTGGCAAATTATATATTCCATTAGTTTTTTGTGATCTACAATGCCTTCCAGGACATTTCTGGATCCATTTCAAAGTGTTGGTATTAACAATTCAAGTTCTAAACGGCTTGGGTGCAAGTTACTTGAAAGATTGTCCCTCCTGGCTAAACCTACTAAGACCTTAAGAACTTCATCAAAGGTCCATTTTCAGCTTCTCTTGCCTAATGGTGCAACAAGAGAACCTTTGTCCTAACAAAGAAATGCCCCTATCCAAAGGGATTTGCCTAGTTGCCTGTACTGGGTGAAGACCTTTCTAAAATTTTACAGTACAAATTAACGTTCATTGTATTTCAGATACTGGAACAGATTGTTCTCCCTGATGCGGTTGAGTGCAGTTTTTATCTAAACAATAAATTGCTCTCAGTTACTTTAATATTAATTTATGTACCAGCATAGATGTTATACATATGGTTTTCCAGTTATGTCATTGCATTTGGTATTTTTTACAGTTTTTTGAATTACCAAAAATCTTCGATTAATTTGGTAGTGCAGAAATGCCATAAGTGAATCCCAACCTGGGTTACTCAGGGTATGAACAAGTACATTTAAGGGTTTGTGAAAAGAATAATGGTGAGAAAAGGTGCATACATCAACTATATAAATCACTTATTTATATCCTGAGTAGTGGGAAGCCCTTTGGCTTCTTTTCTCCCTGCCTACTGCATGAGAGCCCAGACAATTGGCTTTCACAACAAGATGTGATCCATTCTTGTTCTGCCACTAACCTGGGGACTTCTGCTCCTTTCCTACTGACGTCCATTTATAAAGGACAACATTCCTTCCGGATTTTAATTTGTATATGCTACCAGAGGCGATGGGGAAGTGGTCATAAGACCAGAGGGTACAGAATACACAAGTTCAAATCTCTGTCCCAAACACCTTGCAATTTAAAACTTGAAGCTGTGAAGAAAATGAAGAAAGATGGTATAAACAAGGAATCGGTATGTAAGGAGAGAAGTTAACGCCTACAGTATTATTGTACTGTATTCCTGGAAGCCTTTTTCTTCAGTTTACCCTTTCTAAATGTCTGAACAATAATCATATGTTACTCTAAGTCCTAGTTTATCCAGGCAGAAAAACTTTGCATTAACATTTTGTTTGTGGAGGAATAAGATAGAAGTATTCTTCTACTGAATATAGTCAGCTGAGAACCAGTATGGCGTAATGGTTAAATGTGCTGGGCTAGAATACAACTGGGCAAACCATGATTTAAGTGAGCTAAGGTGGGGATGTGGTGGCACTGCAGATTAAGCCGCAGATGCCTCTGTGCTGCAAGGTCAGAAGACCAAGCAGTTGTAAGACTGAATCCACACGACGGAATGAGCTCCCGTCACTTGTCCTAGCTCCTCGCCAGCCTAGCAGTTTGAAAGCATGCAAATGCAAGTAGATAAATAGGTACCACCTTGGTGGGAAGGTAATGGTGTTCCGTGTCTAGTCGCGCTGGCCACGTAACCACGGAAACTGTCCTACGGACAAAACGCTGGCTCTACAGCTTGGCAACGGGGATGAGCACAGTGCCCTAGAGTCAGACACGACTGGACTAAATGTCAAGGGGAACTTTTACCTTTACCTAAGGTGGCAAAAAGGAAATTATCTGTAATTTTTTCCCCAAGGTTCTTCAGGTTGTTGTGTACTAATTGCAGTTAGCTACTTATTTTACAAGTATGTTTCTTTTTCAGTTTTGAATTTGATGACATTTATGGTAGGTAAAAATCATTTGAACACCACATTGTGAATATGTCCATGAGTCTTTGTAGGAGAGCCCCCAGCACTACACCTGTCCCTGGGTTGTAAACCCTTTTAGCTGTAGTCCCGCAAAACTGACAGATAAGACACAATGAAAGCAATCCTTGCCCAGGGTGGTAGTTATGCAATGAATGGCCTTGATGATAAATGTTAATAAATAGCTACTGGAGGTCAAGAATGAGAGAGCTTCAACCACTCAGTTCTTCCAGACTACCTCTAGGCATCTCCTTAGGCTGTATGAGAAACAGGATTTGAGACTACAGTAAATAGACTTTGGGTGATAAAGAAGGCTGACCACCGAAGAATTGATACTTTTGAATTGTGGTGCTGGAGGAGACTTTTGAAAGTCCCCTGGACTGCAAAGAGGATAAACCTATCCATTTTGAAAGAAATCAACCCTGAGTGCTCACTGGGAGGACAGACCCTGAAGCTGAGGCTCCAGTACTTTGGCCATCTCATGAGAAGACTCCCTAGGGAAAAAAAACCTGATGTTGGGAAAGTGTGAAGGCAAGAGGAGAAGGGGACGACAGAGGATGAGATGGTTGGGCAGTGTCATTGAAGCTACCAACATGAATTTGACCCAACTCCAGGAGGCAGTGGAAGACGGGAGGGCCTGGCGTGCTCTGGTCCATGGGGTCATGAAGAGTTGGACACGACTAAACGACTAAACAACAAGAAGACTTTGGGCTGATCTAGTAGGGCTTTTCTTACATTCTTAAGATACCACGACAGGCCACAGAAAATATCTGTCATGCTTCAGGCCAGCTCCATTTAAAAAAGCTGAGCGCTCTGCATATGTTGGGAAGAAGAACAGACTGGCAGACCTCCGCTAACAGCTGACTGGCTTAATTACTTTCTAAATAAGGAGGGTGCCACATGGCAGATGCAGAATGCTTGTTTTTATATATATATAGTTCCAAGGAGTAGGACCCCAAATAATAGACTCACAATATGAGATTTCATCTAAACTGCTTTCTGCATCTGCAAACAAAATGTTAATGCATTTCCAAAGAGTAAGACCCCAAATAATAGGCTCACAATATGAGATTTCATCTAAACTGCAGGAAGAACCACTTGACAGCGACAGCTGTTCAGAAACTGAATAGGTTGCTTTGGAGAATGGCAGCCTCTCTTTCATTGGAGGTGTTTAAATAGAGTTTGCAAGGCCATTTCTCCAAGGCAATTTAGCAGTAGATTTCCTGCTTCCGTCCCGTCCAGCTCTCCAAAATCTGTGATTCTAGGAGGTGTGAGTTTTCCCAGAAAAGTCTTTCAAATGATCCAACCTCTCTGACTTGCAGCCTGAAACAGTTACAACCACTGCAGCCAGGAGAAGAAAGCAGAGCCTGAACGGAACCCCATGCCTGTTACTTAGCAACCATTTCTCGTTAGAATGGAGAAGGCGATTGGTGTCGCTTTTTATATACGCCAGAGCGAGCCTAGCAGTTGTCCGACGCAGCTCAAACTTCTGGAATTCTTTCAACGTTGCCCTTGGCTATATGAGTCTCCGATAAACTTACGTTGGCAAAACTGAAGTGAAAAAGAGAGAAAAGGAAAAATATTGCGACATTTTAGAGAATATGTATTTACTGCAGCGTGAGCTTTCGTGGATAAAAGTATAGACAACTTCAGACACAAACGTCTTCAGCAGAAAGAAAGAAAGCCAGCCGTGCTCTCCTTGTAGACTCTCCAAAAGCAAGAGTGGTTGCTATGTTTATTAGATCGCTAAAATATGAAAAACGAGCTAGCTTTCTACGAGTCCTCGGCAGTGTCTGAAGAAGTGGATTTTGTACCATGAAATCTCACACTGAAATAAATGTGTCAGCCTTTGAAGTCTCACAGTATTTTTCCTTTCTCCCCCCCTTTTGATTTTGCCAACATGCTGACAATTTCTTGAGAAACTGCTAGTAAATTTCATGTTGTTTTACAACAGAGGGAATGTCAATGGGGGCGAGGGGAGACAAGATGATAATGTTTCACTAGCCTATGAAATAACATATTTTTACCACTTCACCCAGTGCCCGGATGTTTCTGTAATTGCCATTGCACTTAAATTCGCTCATATAGTACTTCACTATCTAGGCGCCACACCCAACTTTATGTATGTATCCTGCCTGTGTATGCATTTGATATTTGAACATCTTATGTATATATTGTATATATTCAATAAATATGAAGACATGTAGGCATGTATTGTTGAAGCTGCAAGGCTGCACTCCATGGAGCTGAAGAAATGGGCAGACCGTCCACGCAAAGCTGACGCTGTAATAACTCTTTTCATCTCAAAGGTGACAGACAAGCCTGTCCCATTTAGTTGCAACAAATGAAGACGGTGACTCGCATGAAAACACCTCCTGAGAGTTTGCCATCGCAGACCATGGTGGGCAAGAGTGACCTCTAGACCACCTTAGCCCACAGGAGCGCCAGCCAAATGTCGGGGATCATGGGAACTGCAGTCCAATAGCGGGAGGAAGTCAGACAGTTACGCATCCCTCTGATGCGGTACTGTACTGTACCTCTCTATATGGTGAAGATTTAGAAGAGATGCCCGTGTTAGTCATGCGATGATCAGTATGCGAAACAGGGTACCGATCATCGCAAAGCAATTTTTCCCTATCTAAATCATCGCAATGTGATCGCAAAAGCGATCGCAAAAAATTCATCGCGGATTATTATTATTATTATTATTATTATTATTATTATTATTATTATTATTATTATTATTATTATTATTTAAATTAGGAAAAAAACTTTTAAAAACTTGGACAAAAAGACAAAATCCCGTAGCTCCTTAGAGACTAGATGTTCTCCAGCGAACACTCTAAGAGGAAACACCAAAAGAAACATCGCCTCCTGACTCGTTGAATCTGCTTTCCCTTCCGCTTTCTCCTCCTCCTCCCCCCGCTAACGCATGACGCCTTAATAGTGCGTCGGACATGATTGGCTGCCAGAGGCGGCGGCGGCGGCGGAGGGGCACTAGCCCCCTCCCCGCAGCCGTTGACGGATGTGGAAGTCACGAGGGCCTTCCGCCTTGAGGCTGCGCGGTTGGCCGGATGTGGGGTTGCCCGGTGAGTACGGAGGGGGGGGCGGGTTCACACGGGTCCTGGGGCCTTGCTGGAGGGGAAGCGGGTTTCTGCTTTCCAAGCGGGGAGGAGAACAAAGACCCTCCTCCCTGCTTATGGGGAGCGAAGCCCTGCCGCTTTTAACTGGAGAGTGGAGGGGTATCGGCGGCGTTGGGGTTTGTTACCTCAGTAACGTGGCGGGGCGGGGAGGAAACCTGAGGGAGGAGGGAAAAGGGCTGGTCCCCTGCGGTCTGGTGAGAGGTCTTCCCTCAACAGGTGCTGAGGCAAACTGCCCTCGGCCCGGTCAGAGCGGCCCTTCCGGACGGAGAGCCATCCTCAAGTGTGGACGGGGGTCCCACGGTGGACCCACTTCCCTCCCCGGTCTTATGGACTGAAACTTATACCAAGAAAGAGGGAGTGGACGAAAGGCAAAGGGGTCGAGAGTGAAGGTCACCAGAGAGAGTAGGAGCACAGAGACGTGGAAATAGGCTGCACGATGCTGTACTGCCTCCCCCTGCCACGTCTGGGCTCAGAAGTGTTCGTGAAAGGAAGAAGGGGGCGACTGGGCTGTTTCCCATTATTTGGGGTGCCTACGGAAGGCAGCAATCCGTTGCTGGTGGACTGCAAAATCCCAATAAAAGAGAAATTTAAATTCTCATAACAGTTCCCCTTTATCGCTCTCTGTACCTGACAGTGGATCCAGAGAAGGGTCATTGGTCATGGCTGGGAAGAAAAGATCCTCAATTCTTCTGATCGTTAATCAGGGAACCCACACTTGGTGGTTGAAACCCACTGTGATTCTTCTGTAGACCCTTCTACAAAAACCTTGATAGAGTAGCTGCTGCCCTTGGGGTAGTTCTTGACAGGAGGAGCCTGATGGGGCTGGTCTCTCACCAGACCTGAGTGAGTGGGTCTTCAGAAACAGTGGAGTTGCAGCAAGGGATGGAAGAAGCCATTTGGGCTACATTCATCTCTCACAGAGTTTGCAAACCAAACAAGTAGAGTAAGAAGGCATTAAATTTGAACAAAGACGGGACCCTTGTGATGAGGCAGTTAATGGGAGCCCACAAGTAAGGTGTTTGAACAAAAGGGAACAAGCTAGATAGTGAGCTGAAAAATGGTCTTGGGGAAAAGAATGGGTGGCTGGAAGAGGCAGAGTATTGAAGAAAAGCAGTACACAAAGATATAGTATAGTAGAAGAAAGCTATGTGTGTAAAGGAATTGGAGACAAATGACCATTGGCATAAGCAGAGGCAGAAAGACCTCGGAAACTAAGTAAGAGTAAATTCAAGGAGTAGATTGCTAATCCAGCAACCTGCTGCTGCTGGGAAGTCCACAAGCATGACATGAGGGCAATTGTCTCCTGTTGCATTCCCCAGTTGCTGGCTGTCAGAGACATACTGCCTGTATGTTATATATAATTGGAGACAAATGACCATTGGCATAAGCAGAGGCAGAAAGACCTCGGAAACTAAGTAAGAGTAAATTCAAGGAGTAGATTGCTAATCCAGCAACCTGCTGCTGCTGGGAAGTCCACAAGCATGACATGAGGGCAATTGTCTCCTGTTGCATTCCCCAGTTGCTGGCTGTCAGAGACATACTGCCTGTATGTTATATATAAAGGCAGCGTGTAGCCACTGCAGTTTAAAAAGAATGGGTGGCTGGAAGAGGCAGAGTATTGAAGAAAAGCAGCACACAAAGATGTAGTATAGTAGAAGAAAGCTATGTATGTAGAGGAATTGGAGACAAATGACCATTGGCCTAAGCAGAGGCAGAAAGAGACCTCGGAAACTAAGCAAGAGTAAATTCAAGGAGTAGATTGCTAATCCAGCAACCTGCTGCTGCTGGGAAGTCCACAAGCATGACATGAGGGCAATTGTCTCCTGTTGCATTCCCCAGTTGCTAGCTGTCAGATGCATACTGCCTGTATGTTTATATATAAGGCAGCGTGTAGCCACTGCAGTTTAAAAAAAAATCTGAAAAAAAGGAATCCCTGTTCATAGCTTAAGAAAGGGAGGTTTGGGTATTGGGGAATGAGCACCGCCCCCTAGAGTCGAACACGACTGGACAAAAATTGTCAAGGGGAACCTTTACCTTTACTGTGTAGCCACTACAGTTTAAAAAAAATCTGAAAAAAGGGAATCCCTGTCTATAGCTTAAGAAAGGGAGGTATAGGTATTATAGACAGCAGTGGGGGAGAATTGGAAAGAACTTTGGAATTTGCAGAACTATGGATGAAGAAGGCAATGGGTCTGCCACTCCTGTGCTGGCTTGATCTCAGACTGAAATGGAAATCTAAAGTAGACAGGCAACCAGATATCCAGTATTGATTAAAGAAATGCCTTGATTAATATTCTTGTATTTTTCATCGTACAGTGCTGTGAGAGGAGAGATAGTACCCAGTATGTGAAATGAGATGTAGACTCATAAATGTGGGTGTGTGGGAGAGGGTAGCTCTTGATCTTTGAGTTTTGGTGGAGCAACAAGAAGAAAAACTGAATTCTTGTCACACTTTTTGCTTTTCCCAAGTCTAAAGCAAGTTACAGACCCCCACCACCACTGTACGAAAGGACAACCCAGAGTATCTCATCAAACAGATGAGGTGAAATGTGGTGGGCTGTCCTTTTGCACAGTGGGACAACAGTATTGAGTGTTTTTCCTTAAGATATATGCTTTGTCCTTTAGATACTAGATAAAGAAAACTTTACTTTCCCAAGCCTCTTAATCTTTCTGTTTCTTTTAAATCCATTTTAGCCCTTACACTTTATTTTCCAGTCTTCATATTTTTGATATTTAGAAGGGAACTTCTTTTGATGCTGCTTTGCATGTCTTATTACTGTTGTTGTTGGCGATTTTAAATGATAGTTTCTATTCTATAATTTTCCCAAGAACTGTTATTGGGTGATCTGTAAATATAAAAAAATCAATGAATAAATAGCATCCTTCCCTTCCCCCCAAATTCTTTGTGCATATCAGAGGATGGGGGATGGAATGTCAGTTGAAGTTACAATTAAATGGTTGATTAAGCAGCTGAAATGTCTAGATTGGTTCTTTTAAAGGGAAGAGCAAGACTACACAGGCTAATCCACAGTAATAAGCAGAGTCTTGAACACCTTACAGAGAAACACTACTTTGGTTATTAAAAGCACTCTTTTTGGTGTCATTTCCCTGACAAACAATTAATATGTTATGATGCTTTTCACAGTTGTTGTAAAGAAAGAAGATGGAAAGTAATGCTGTCCTTTTGGAATCTAAATCCTCACCAATCAACCTCCTGAATGAAATGCACCAGCTGCGTCTCCTTGGCCACCTCTGTGATGTAACTGTGAGTGTGGAATATCAAGGTGTCAGAGCAGAGTTTGTTGCTCACAAAGCTGTGTTGGCAGCAACCAGCAAGTTTTTTAAAGAGGTGTTCCTTAATGAAAAAAATATAGATGGACCAAGGACAAATATATTGTTAAATGAAGTCCAAGTAGCTGACTTTGCATCATTTCTTGAGTTTGTCTATACTGCTAGGGTAGAGATAGAAGAAGATCGAGTGCAGCGTATGCTGGAAATAGCTGAGAAACTAAAGTGCTTGGATTTGTCTGAAACATGCTTTCAACTAAAGAAGCAAATGCTTGAATCAGTGTTGTTGGAGTTACAGAATTTTTCTGAGTCACAGGATGCTGAAGAGGACAGTGTTGCCCAGCCAAGCAGTTTAGTTGAGCCAAATGCAGTTGTTGAAACACAAAGTGACAATACAAACTCACTCTTAAATTCTCCTCCTGAAAGGCCCAGGGATGGAGAGAGCCTTGAAGTTCCCACAGCTAAATTAAAGGAAAAGTTAGATAAGAAAAAAGAAGCCCTGAAGACACCCTGTGCCAAAATCAGGCGAGCTAGCGGAAGACTGGCTGGCAGGAAAGTATTTGTGGAAATACCCAAGAAAAAGTACACAAGACGCCTGCGAGAACAACAGAAGTATGCAGAGGCTGTTGCTGAAGAGACGAGGCTCTCCAAAAACCACACCCTTCATGAGGAAGGAGGAGAGGAAGAGGGGGAGGGGGAGGAGAAAGAACAAATGGCAAACAGTATGAAGCCTGAACACAAAGAGTGTGATAGCACTGATGAACTGGAAGAAACTGTGAATAAATCTGAGGAGGACAAAAAGAATCGTGGTGGCAACTTTACATGCAGCACCTGTGAGAGAGAATTCCTGTATGAGAAGAGCTTTCTGAAACACATAAAGCACAGCCATGGGATTGCTGCTGAAATTATATACCGTTGCGAAACCTGCGGCCAGACATTTGCCAACCGGTGCAACCTCAAAAGCCACCAACGCCACGTCCACAGCAGTGAGCGTCACTTCCCTTGTGAGCTCTGTGGTAAGAAGTTCAAGAGGAAGAAGGACGTCAAGCGGCACATTCTGCAGGTTCATGAGGGTGGTGGGGAGCGTCATCACTGCCTACAGTGTGGAAAGGGTTTGAGCTCCAAAACGGCCTTGAGGCTTCATGAAAGGACACATACAGGCGACAAGCCTTATGGGTGCACAGAGTGTGAGGCTAAGTTTTCTCAGCCTTCGGCACTTAAAACACACATGAGGTATGAACAGACTTAACTGGCCTTATTAGCTAAATTTCTGGGCAAAAAAGGTAAAGTCTCACATAGCAGTTCATCAGTGGTCTAAAGCTGGGTTGGAGACTGCATTATAACATTTTCAATAGTGTGTAGTCTATATTCTTAAGAGAAAAGGTGGGTGCTCCTGTGCAGACCACACCTAAAATACAGTCTCACATTTTCGTAAGTTTACCTTAGAATAGGTTGGAGTAAATGTAGGCCTTTGCCAAAGAATTGGGTAAGAGGAGAGACCTGATCTTAACAATTTTAGAGTGACAACCTTCTAAGTAACCTTCAAAATGTCTTCAAACAATCCAGTGATAGTTGACTTTGCAATCTAATTTGGGTAGAACATAATGCATATAAAATTATGGATCCTAAAAAATGACACCCAATATAGTGCTATCCTAATTTAATGGGAAACAGAAAGCTTTGACATCAGAAATTGGCTAAAAGCTACTTTTTATTATTTTTACAAATGCAGATTTTAGTAACACATTATGTGCCAGAAAATCGGATCTTAAACCTTAGTCAAGAAATTACCTGGATCCCACCATGAATGCTTTCAGGGGTTTTCACCGTCAGTAGTACAAATAACTACCGAGCTCTAATGTTTAGTAGCATTAATTGGAATAACGGAGAAGGTAGTAGGGTCACATTAACTGTAGTCCACTCATGTCCAAACTAGATCATTAGAGAGAAGAGTGGCAGATGAAGGCTCTTCCACTTACAATGAAGCCTGTGCTATGTAAGCTGGTACAAAAACTCATAAAATCCTAACATCATGGAGTATAATTTCATAAAATCATAAAAAAGTGAAGTTGGAAGGGGCCTACAAGGCCATCAATTCCAACCCCCTGCTCAATGCAGGAATACAATCAAAGCTTATTTGCTAGGTGATTATCTAACTTTTTCTTGAATGCCTCCAGTGTTGGAGCACTCAACAACTCCTGAGGTAACTGGTTCCACTGTCGTACTGCTCTAACAGGATGTTTTTCCTGATATTCAACTGAAATCTGGCTTCCTTTAACTTGAGCCCATTGTTGCGTGTCCTGTACTCTGGGATGATCGAGAACAGACCTTGTTCCTCCTCTGTATGAAAAGTGTTCTCATATCACCCCTTGTTCCTCCTCTATTTGAAAAGTGTTCTCATATCACCCCTCAATCTTCTTTTCTCAAGTCTAAACATGCCCAATTCTTTCAGCCTTTCTTCATAAGGCTTGGTTTCCAGCCCCCTGGTCATCCTTGTCGTCCTCTGCTGAACTTGTCACCCTCCTCTTAATTTATTAGCATCCTTCTTGAGGTGTGGTGTGCAGAACTGGACACAGTACTAAAGGTGAGGCCTAACCAGTGCTGAATAGAGGGGGACTAGCACCTCATGGGATTTGGAAACTGTACTTCTATTAATGCAGCCTAAA